AGGCAGGGTGGGGCACGGGGGGGCCTCCAAAACGAGCTGGTGTCACAGTGCAAGGTCTTACGTGAGCTCCAGGGTGGGAGTTTGATGGAGGAACGTCTTCTCCAGGAGCCAGGGAAGGTGGAGGCTGGGGCTGTGATAGGCGCTTGATGCCCGGAGGGGGGGATGTGTCCTCCCAGCCCAGGGCTGGGGGGTAGAAAGGCAGCACCCAGGGACCTGCCTGGCCCCTCCACCACCTTGTGCCCGCGTGGGGATGGCAGCACTGTGTGCTGGGTGAAGTCCTGGGGGCAGAGCGTGGGTCGATGTTGGCATCAAGGTGGGCTCACTGAAAAATGTCCTTTTTTTTTTTGCCTCGAGGGAAGGGAGGGCTCTGCCCGGCCCAGTGCTGCCTTGAAGGGTCATTAAGATGTCAAGTCAGGCATTAAAATGCCTCCAGGGTGAACAGCAGCGTGCCCAGGGAGCCCCTAAAAAGCTGCGTTGAGTTCTTGGGCACAGAGCTGGGCACAAGGGGAAGACGAGCGAGCCCAGAGTCTGGGGAAGGGGCTTTGGGCAGGCAGGGGGAGGACTGGGGCAAACGCAGCAGTGCTTTTTTCCTCTCTGCCTTCCCCAGGCAGCAAAGAAGCACAACCCCCTGCCCCGTTCAGGTGCCACGGGCACAGTCCCCTCCCCAGGAGGGCTACGCTGGCATCAGCAGGGAACACCCGAGCCTTCAGTCTCCACAGCTTGGAAAGGTGTTGGCTTCAACAGGCTCATCCTGGGGGGGGTGGATTTCATTTACAGGGAAAAGAGAAAGGAGCTGGCGAGGCCAGGTGGGGCCAGAGACGTCCACGGGCTGGGGAAGTGAGATTTGTGCAAACCCCCATGAACTGGAGTCCTCGTTTGCTCCTCTGCAGGGAAGCCAGGCTGGGGGGCTGCACGAAGCTGGAGCTGGAGTTAGGAGTCCTCCCCGAGGATCTCTGTCACAAACGAGGCCATGTCAGTCTCTTTGGTGTCGTGCAAAGTAAAGAAAGGGTGTTCCTGCCAACAAGAGCACAGACAACGTCAGCAGATGCCCAAGGAGCAGCCCAAGTCCCTGGGGGATGTCACACGGCTGGTGAGGTGCTGGGGGGAGAGGTGGACACCAACCTCCTCCCCCCCAGGCTCCCACGGCACCATCCTTTAGTTTATTAACTAATGCTTTTGGGTTTGGAGTTTCTAGGTTCTCCTAGAGGGACAGCCCACCTTGGCAACTGTATTAACATCATTTGAGGTGTAAACTCACCAAGAGCAGATAGGACAGAAGGAGAAAACACCTAGAAACCCTGACCTTAACAGCCACAAAATAAACACACCCTTCCTTCCACCTCAGCCACACTACACCCATCCCACTCCATGCCTGAAAAAGAGAGACAACCATCACCTGCACGTCCTGTTATCCCATTTCCCCAGGACCTGTGGACCACTCACTTGGCTTTCAAAATGTGTTGGGATAAAGATGAGCAGAAAGGGCTCCACACTTACCATAAGTTCCAAATAGTTCATTCGCTCAGCAGGGTTCTTCCTTAAGCTGGAAGGATAAAAGTAAAAGGGAGAGAAAGGTTGTAGGATCATTTTGTTTTGCTCTACGTGGTCTGTCACAGGAGATGTCCCCCTCCCAACCAACACCCTTCTGGTGGGCAGCACCCACTCCTCTCCTGCCCCAGCCAAGGTTTGAACCACCAGTGAAGTGACCAGGCAGGTAAATGGGAAAGGACTGGGGAAAAAAAACTGTGTTTTGCCACAAAAAGCACAAGCCAAGCAGCTTGCTGCAGCACAGCCTCCCTTCTCCACCCAGACCAGACTAAGTGAGGAGAGGAGATGGTTTCCCACCACCCCTAAGGTGATGCCTGCCTCGGTGGGCTCACCTCTGCCCGGCAGCTCCATGCAGGGAGCAGAGGAACCCCCCAGGGGAGCAGCTACCCCCAAAACCACAGGGCAGCTTTCACCCAGAGGCGCCCGGGCACTGCCAGGGCTTCGTTCTCCTTTTGCTGCTGCTTTGCCAGAAACCACCAAGGGTTGAGCGGTACAGCAGCAACGATGGCAAAAGGGGAAGAGAAACTCGTGCACCTTCCCACCCGCCCGGGTGAGTCAGGCTGAGAACAAAGCCCCTTTGGGCAGCGCTTCCTGCCACGGCCCAGCCCCAGTGAGGTGGGGAGAAAAGGGCTCCAAAGGGCCAGAGCCAGCCCCACGCTTTGCTCCAGCCCCCCCCGGGGCAAGG